AAAAATTGACGTAATCTCCGGATGGCCATCCTTCTCGACCCGCGATAGCTCCCGACGTTTCTCAATTCCGCGAAGCAGCAGCAGCTCTATTTAGAGATCTATCGTTTTCATTCAACCGTTCTCTCTCTTTCTCTCTTGCTCTCTCTCTCACCCTCGTCGCGAGATGGCTGAATCTCGTTTCCGCGAAAGACCCTTCTCCGTGAATATCAACCGGCACGGCATGCATACGCGCGTTTATGTTTTTCATAAAGGAAAAGGCTCTCCTTTCAGAATCTGTTCAAGCAGTACTTCGTTCAACCGATAAAACGCGGTTCTCTTCTAAACGCGAGCATCGCAGTCGAGACGCCGTCGCCGTCGTGGCACGCTCGATAAATTCAATTGTAAGTCGAGAGCAGCCAGCTTGCCTCGAGTATATGAATCATTATCAACGCCAGCGATGAATTTTGTTTCGAGACGCGTTCATCGACGTGACAAATGCCTCCCAATGAAACACGACGGGCTAGAGTTAGCAGCAAAATCGGTGAACGTCGTTCTGTTTACGCAGCAATCTGCGAAAGCGCCATCGGTACCGTGTTACAGTCGTGTAAAACAGTGAGTAACATCGATCGCATCCGAGCACTTTCACGGACTTTCCCACGAGGCTCTCCCGCTTACACGCTGAACCCGCGATACAGTGAATACCGCTGCCCGAGGATGAACCGTGTTGCACAAAGGGCCAGAAGGATGCGAACGGACCCGTAACTCTCCAGTCTTGATTCCTGTCCATTTGACCTCGCCTATAAAAACCAATCGATAGACAGGAACGCATACATATAAAGAGCAGATTGAAAGATCTGTTCCGAGCATTTAATCACTGCAAATGTTGGTTAAAAATCCAATTATACCGGGTGATTGCAAAAGTTCATCCCAGATTTTCATATATCTCAGAAATATGCACTTCAATCTTAACCAGTTTATTTCTAACAGTTAGAAGATTTACTCATTCGAATCATGTTTCTTGTTCCCATACGTTTCAATAGTATTGTATAGACGTAGTTTTTTTAATTATTGTAACAATGGAGCATTGTACGAAATCGTGACAATGTAGTATTAAATAAAACTAAATTAATTACACACAATTCGAAGTAGGATCGTTGTACTTGGAAACGAGAGCTCTATTATTTTGCAACCAGTGGGTCGGGCGAAAACTGTGCCGCGGAAAGAAATATTTCAATATGACGGAAAATAATTGCGAGCACGGGATTCAAGTTTAAATCAGGGAGGTATGCCATTTTAATCTTTCATCCGACGTAGACCTAAAGAAACTTCGAGTCGGGCGGAATTTCAGATGTAATTATCCCAACTTTCTTACGTAGCAAACGTATTGTTGCTTTAACAACAATGTTATTATCGAGTTTAGCGTGTCCCTCGCATTATAAATGGATTGTTTAACCGTGGAACACAGGGGCCATTGTTTTAGTGGAATAAACGACGCTGGTTCGAAGCTTGAAAATCGAATCGTTCCCGATGCTCTACATATAGTGCGTGAATCATAGCTCGATAATTTTCCAATTTCGCCGATGAATAGAAGCGAAACGTTGAAGGTTTCAATTCTCTTAGCTATCGAGAACGGAAATGAAACGACTTGTAAACCTTCTTATTTTATTGATCGGACCGTTTTTCAATAGCACGCTGTACGATATTTCCATGACACCGTTGAAACGACGCGGGTTATAATAATAGACAAACGGAATTAAAATCCTAATGTGTGCTGCTTGTTAAAACTGTTTTCATTTTAATAAAGACGAGCTCCGAAGCCTTTGAGATTGAAACAGGGAAATATGTCAAGCGGGAATAATCTCTTGCACCAAAGAGGCTTTCTTTTCGCTACTTGTCCAAACACAAAACTTCATCAGCAGCGAGGCTAAAGAAGCTCCCATTGAAACGAAAGCAGGAGAATAAAATTAATAAGCTTAATTCTATAGAATTTCCTCGTGCAATTCTTTCCTCATTCGTATACTCGTTTTCCTTCGAACACTTTCACTTACCGTTTCCTTTAAACGCGCATTAATCCTCGACTTGTGCTCAGCTCCATTTATCGTTAGTGTTTATTTAAAGGTATTTTTATAAAGAAACGTAAAGCAGGTCGAGAGGATTCGAGATAATAAATTTATTTCGAAGCAATTATACCTCGGTGGCTAATTTCTGTAATATATTCATCCAGTTTTTCCACGGCAACTTTCCAAGTGGTGTATCCAATTATTCCACGAAACACGAACGTCTAAATACTAGGTCGGTACGTATGAAATATCGTTGAGAACGTGTACCCTTTCTGAAACATTGTACGAAATTTTGAAATAGTTCCCAGGCCGCTTGCACGCTTTAACGAATAACTAATTCCGGTATTTCAGATTTATAAGAGTTATCTTCCACGAAAGTCGTCGGTTTTGCGGACAAGAGTGCAATCGCGATGGAAAATATTAATTGGTTTCTTGCTCGAAGCCAGCATTCTTTCGTAACGAACGAACACAGATGCGTTCGAGTGATTAAAACGGAATGAAAAGGGGGGGAGCAAAGAGACGCTTGTAATAATTATACGGATAAAGAAACGACGTGACAGGAACACGATAATCGCTTCCTCTTCGTAATCGCTGGCATAATTTTTTATTCCCATTCTCCGTTAACCCTTTAACGTAGCTATGCGTTACATCCAGACGCGAAACCAGCTGCGCTTTCTTCGGTTTTTCCTTGTTTCGTCACGCGATGCGGCTCGTTGCATTCTCCAGGATCGACGTTTAGGATAAAGAGGAAAATTATGTGTAAGATTATTGGGATAGGGTAAATCTGAACATAATTACACAGGTGCATCTTTTTATACTTAAATTCTGTTTAATTAATAAAACGTTTCACTAAAAGAAACGTGCAATAAAAAAGTCACCCGACAGATAAATGGGAAGAATCTGATAAATTAAACTTATGGGAAAATGCTGATCGGTACAAATCCAATTGTCACTAATATCGATTCTGATCTTGAAGCATCACGGTCAAGCTTTCGAACAGATTCGATCAACAGAGATAGCTACGTTTCAGCGTGACCGATTTCGGGCGAGCTTCTCGCCCGATTTCATCTATTGGACGAATTCAGATTAGCCTGTTTTTTCCAAACCGATACATGAAGCAGCCTCGCGTGTTCCTCTAGACAGAAGCACTCGTTCTCAGAAATTGCGAACTTTCCGAACGCTCCCAACTGCGAGCTGCTCCTTGAGCATTCTCTCATTTTCCGTGTCAGCACATCCCTCTTCCTCCCTTTCTCTAATCCCTTTCAGGTTATTTCGAAAGAAACTTGAGCAAAGCCGCCGCGGTGTCGGAATCGACCGAGTTCGCTCCATCCATTCCGCCCCGCCTTCACAGACGCAATACTCGCTGGGAATGTACAGAGTACACTGCTCGCCCGTATAAAAAGCTTACGCACGAGACTCATCATGGATTAAGATTGCCGAAATTCATTCGCACTCGAAGTACTATACTCGCGGCACGCCCTCGGTACGTCGATCGGTTCGCGTTTCTCTACTACGGCACGAAATTCCGGGCGAATCGCATTAGCCCGTGATTAAAAGATCAACGGGATTGCTGGTGGGCCAGGATATCGCAGTGGCAGACGGGGGATCCGGGTCGAGCCGCGAGACAATAAGCATGAAAGGAGAGTGAAATTGAAAATCGATTTTCCAAATAAAGAAGGACGCATTAAACGTCCGGATATTATGGATGCGCAATTAACGCGACTCATTTGTTACGTCGAAATAGATTACTGCGACCCAGCGACACGTCAATGTATCGACGTTTCTCTCGTTATCCGTCGCCTATAGATGTGTCTGTTACAACGCAGTTTTTGATCAATCGACGAGAAATGTTTGACACGGTTTCTTCAAATAAAGTCCTCTCTCGTTCGACTGTCAGGACGTCGAGAGTTCTGGGAAGAATTGATTGTGCCCATAATTCGAGAATCGGGGGAAGGGGTCGAGTTTTTGTAGAAATGATGGCCCAGCGCCGCTTTATTGCAGTAGTGTTTCAATTTAGCACCCGGTAAAAGAGTTTGGGGGCTTTTATCGCAAAAGTTCTGCACGGGCAGATAGAAAATAAGACGGGGCCGGGTCGAGCGGAACGGGGGTGGAAGGACAGAGAAGTCGGCCAAGAGAAAGAATAAGTACGCGGTGCCGCGTCGTGGCAAGGTACAAGGACTCGGTTTGCACCGCTGAACACCTGCGCGAGGAATTAACTTTTCGTCCCACTAATCAGTCTTGCATAGCGTAACAATCAACTTGACGTTCAATTGGTAAGTTCGATTCGGCATGAATCGCGGGGGTCAATTAGCTCGGTTCATTCGGTCGGATCGCGGTTTGTTACATAAATTACTCGGGCAGGTTGTCACGGAACAGCACTCGATTCGCAATGATAATGAAGCGGATCAGACGGCATGTTAGTAAACGTGTTCGATCGGCCCCTATCAATTAATCGCCTCTCGATCCCGTCTTAGGAGCTCGTTCCGCGGTTACGCTAATGCTCCGGGCCGACGTTATAAAGCCCGCGGCGGATTTCGATATTTCTCCGAGCGAATTTGCGGTTGAATTAATCCGTTTTAACAGGATTCCCCGGGCGAGATAACCAAGGATCTCGTAATAACGTTTGCCACCGTGGTAGCGTGTTAAAACTCGCGTAAAGTTCGAACACTTCGGCGGATAGATAACGCCTCGTAGCCTCGTACGTTTATCGAGCGGAGCCATTCCGCAACTTTGCTTCGCGAGTGCTCGCGAAATAACTTTTCCGTCGCCCCCGTGTCGTTTGTTTCACGGTGATCATGCTACTTTACGTTCAATTTCCTGGTATCGTCGCGTCTGCCCGTCGAAGAAAAGTTTCTCTCCAATATGAAACACGGTGATCGCGTCGAACGAAACGGGGAACTGTGTGCAGAGACGGGAGGGAGTTAGGATGGGGCGTAAAGTCGAGTAAATAATCATGGCCGATTCGCAACTTCGATTAATGTTTTATTGGATTGTATCGTTAGAGAATGCAGGTAATATTTACATCGATTTCATTTATCCCGAACTAACTCCGACAACGAATTCGAAGGGAAGAAAAAAAGACTCGGAGATCGGTTTTCGCTTACATCCTATGCACGTGTACATACAATTATGTGCTTCCCGCGTACGTAACGAATATATATATTATATATGCATACATTTATAGTATATTTATAATGCACAGAAACTGATTCACTCTCTCTCACGCGCGAGCGGTGAGATATTAACGAGTAACAGGCCGTCCTTGTGACGTTCCAGTTCCCGTCGACTCGAACTTAGAAAGAGGAGAGCCCTCCTCCCGCGGTGTTCCGCGATTCCCCGGGAGTTAACGATGGAACGTGGCTCACCGCGTTCAACTCCTAGATCAATTCCACACACATACACATACACACAGACAGACATTCGCAGAGACACACAGGGCACGGCGGATAATCGTTATTCCGACCGCGCCCACGTTCCTCGAGACAAAGAAATTGCGAGATTAAAGGTAGACGGGGACAAACGGGCGGGAGGGATTGGAACAAAAGGATTCATCGTCGACTGAAAGTCCTGCCCTTGCGATCGTACGCGAATCCCTCTCGCGAGGGCTCCGGCTCTTCTACACACCGAGAGGCTCGCAAGCTGCACACGCGAACACTCGACGACGACGACGTCGTCCCGTTCTCGTGGCATCGATTGCTGCCGGATAAACGACGAGTACCGACGATCCGGTCGATGGCGGAAGACGACGGACCGGATCGCAGCGGCGCGGATACTCTGGCCGTTGCCGTAACTCTCGACGGTGATTCACGTCGGGTAGAGATTGGTCAAGCTCGGTATCCTCCAGCTGATCACCGTCAGGAGAGACACCAGTAAGTTGCTCGCCAGAATCGACGGGCTGACGTTCCTCCTGTCACCGCCGTGCATCGCCGCCGGTTTCTCCTCCTCTGAAACCAGATTAGAAACTCTGACTCGACGCAAGTCGAAAAGGAAACAAGAGGGAAATGACTCGGACCGAAGGGAAGGTTAAAATCCCTCGGGGTCGATCACCGTTTGAACGACAGGCTCGGCGTCTGATGCCAGCCGCCCCTTTCTTTCACCTCTTATGTAAAGTTCTTCCCCCTCGATAGTCCGATCACGATCTCTGGAACTCGCGTCGCGACGCGCCGCTTTGCGGATACGCTCCGGCCCGCGTTAAATCTCGTTCGAATTTCTATTGAACTACCGAAACGTCGCGAGACACAGCGAAGCGTTTCCCGTCGTTCGACGACTCGAGGCACGTTACGTATTCGATTCGCGCAACGAGTGTGAAGGAAAGAAACGTCGATCGTCGAACTTTCGGTACGACTATTCTCTCGTGAACGAGGAAGCGACTTGTCACAGGAAATAGTTCTCTGGGGAATAATTGGCCGTCGCGGGTAATCGTTGGTCACCTTCGATCACGTGAACCATCACGTACGCCGGCTTGGCGTTACTCGGGGCGCAGGTATAATTTCCTCCGTGCGTCGGCTTCGTTTTGTTGACCATTAGGATCGATCCGTTCTTGGTCAGCTCGACTTTCACGCCCGGTTCCTCGTCGTAATTGATCATGTGCCCCTGACGATACCAGAAGACGTAGAGGGGCGACTCCGCGGCCGCCTTCAGCTGACACTCCAGCCGGAGGCTCGAGCCTTGCTTCACATGTAAATCAGGCGCCCCTGGTATGATCGAGTACGCTTCCGTGATCTTCAAGCGCACGAAGTTCCGCTGCACCGGATGCGACGTCACCTGAAATTTCAAAGAGAATCCGCGTACGTATGCATGCCGCTGAACGAATACTCGTTCTGATCGTTCCACGGAGATTCGTATTCAGAATGTGATAGCCTATTCACAGAAAAACCTTTTAAGAGCCTGAGTCACGTGACTTTTCCGACGTCCGTCGCTTTCCTGCGCCTTCTATGCAGTAATCGGGCTGTAATATTTTCGTGCGGACGACGTATAAGCGTTACGAAGCTTTGTGTATTCTTTAGAAATACTTTGGACAAAACGATATCTAGAAAATCTTCTGTATAAGAACGAAAAGTTGAGTTCGATGAAAAACTGGCTATGAAAGAATGTCATATTTTTTATATTTCTCTGCAATTTAATTATGAAAGCGACATCGAAGCAACAATGAAACGTTCGGAGTTATTCAAGTGTGAGCTCGCGTCGCACGGTTTACCACCGAAATATCTTTTCAGTTTGTCTTGGTCTCTTGCCCGCGGGTAAAGAGCGTCATAAAGTGGCTGTAATGCGTTGTCATAAATTTAAAAGGCCGCCGTTTTACGACGAAATAAATGATATGCATATCGCAATGTCGCGAAACGGTATTGTATCGAAGGAGCGCGCGGGGCTTTATTACGGACAGATGTGCGTCTCGCTGAGTATACCTGACACTCGTATATACCGGCGTCCTGAAGAGTAACTGCTCGTATTTGAAGTGACCAATCAGTACTCGAATGCATCACGACAAATCGATTGTCGATCGAGTGGGTGTTCGTCCCGACGGTTAATAACTCTCGGAGCTTCATCCATGTGATCTGTAACATCAGGGTGGAAAAAGTTCATTGAAATCCGGTGCTAGTTAAATACGCAGCCTTGCTTTACATTCGCAGACACCGAAGTTTATTTATGTCTCAATGTACCGTGTCATGCTCACTTGCTTTCAGAACGGTGTACAGGAAATTATACCCAGTGTTTCAGAAAAAGTGTTAGAGCCGAAGAGATGTGATTCTGTTTGTGTTTCTGATGAACAATTTCCTCTGGCAAACGCTGAACCACAGCCAAGCCAGTCTACCCCCGGCTTCGCGTGGGTTCTACATGAACTCTCATTGGCCAATGTTTTTCGTGAATAATTCTAAAACCATGTCTCACTTTATATTATGCCAAAGGAAATTGTTGTTCAGAAACACTTCCAGGATCGATCCCTCTTTGACTCCAGCAATTTTTCTGGAACACCCAGAATAGTTACTGTGCTGGTATTTTTTATTAAGAAAATAAAGGACTGTCCTCGTGAATTAAAAACGATATACGTACGGTGATACGGTAACGGCATGCCTTCTGGAGGGATGAAAAGATTGGAAGACGAGTTGATGGTTCGGTGGGTGTTAAAAGCATTTGGATAATTTACGGTAATAATGTATAGTTAACAACGTGTATCGCAGTGTATCATATCGGAGAAAGGGAGAGAGTGAGAGAGGGGAAGAGTAAGCCACGGTAGCATCCAATATCAATTACGGAGGCCATTAGTGTACCCTAATTTCAGGGTAATTTTCATTCCTGACCGTACTGACCACGAAACTTTACTCAATTTGTCGAGCACTCATCGTCTCGCCGCTCCTATTCATTCTCTATGAGAAAAAATGTCTGTTGAACAGTAGAGATGGGATCAAGTTCAATATGTACCTACGAATTCCAATCGAGTTTCAATCTCACTGATTCTCACTAATTTTATGTTATCTCACAATGATATTAAAAACTAAGCCAGTTAGTAGAAATTGTGACATTTACCATAAAGAATTGGAAGGCCATCAGTAAAAATTCTATCTTATCTACTTGCCATATATTCCAGTCTGTCACTAATAAGTAGAATACAATTTGTCTCGTCGGATGCTTCTATTAAACGAAATAAGGAACGATCGAACACTCGACACGATTTTCACCGGATAATAATCGCGCGTCACGGGTGATTCATTAATATTAACCCGTCTACTTAATCCTGTTTAATTCCAGCTGTTCTTCGATAAAACTTGAAAACAGCTCGCGAAAAACGTTGCCGGGTTTCAAGTCGCTCGGACACGAGGTCCTCGGTGGAAAAATGAGGAGCTGGGAAATTGACTTTCAGACAGATTGGGGACAAATCTCCGTGAGTTGATGCGGCTTGTGAGAGAGCTCGGGTGCACATAGTACACGCAGTGATGTACACATACCGTATGTACGTACATATATGCTGCTCGTCGTAATGCGGAAACCGGTAACGAGTTTCCTGTGAAACAGATGTAGTTCGACTGTAAATATTAGAAAATGTGCGCGTTTGCGAACACGCGTTTACTTGATGCATGCATCAGCTGATTCAGCTAATATCTGCAGGCGCAATGCGTAATACGGACCTTCTGTGCAACCATTTTATACCGTATAAGGAACTACTCGATTAATTGCGAAGGATTAAAATTTATTTCCACACTTAATAAATAAATAAATAATAATTCCCCTGAACAATGGATTGACACACTACACTTTGAATTTGGTCTTAAGTCCTTAGGAACAGTGTAATATTCACAGATGCAATTCGCGATTCTAATTGCATGGATCTCGTTTAACTATCGAGAAACTTGGAGTTGAAAGTCGGCTAATTGGCGTTTCGGAGCCGGAGTTACGCGATCGGTACCAATCAATCTAGCCTCAGTCACAATCAATCTGGTTTGAGGAACGTTTTCGATATCCCGTTTTAATGCTTACCGTAATTGCAGCGATTCCGTCAGACACGTAGGAAGCCAATTTTCAAGAACGCGACATTGTTACAATCATGCTAGTCAGCTTAAATGTTTCCTTGATAAATAAATAATTATTAGAAATTATCGAATATAAAATGACTGCAAATAAATGGTGCTCGTGGTTGAAAATCGTTCACCGAACTCGAGGACAACGCTGAGTAATTGTTATTCCTGTCGTAGCTGAGGGGAATGAAAAGATTTTAAGAACGAGCGTCTCTCGCGAAATAATAAATGACTTCCTGTGCTCGTTTTTCCGTTTACTGGTTGAAACCAATAATTTATAGTTCCAATATTAGTCGCACCGTTAAGCTCCTTTTTCGTTGAATTAATTATACCTCGGCAGTCGTCCTAATTCAGAGAACAGTAATATAATGGACGACGCAGATCGTGGCGAAAGATCGATTAAATCGTCGGTTAAAATGCGAGCCGCGTACGATGTTAAAACGTCGAGTTCGTTAGGGGGCTCGAAATTTCCTTTGACGTTGTTTCAGCCATCGGTCTTCTTAGACGCAAATTGGGTAACCGATGTTTCGAGTATTCCCGCGGGGGGCTATTAAACCCAGAAGGTAGGCAAGAACGCCTTTATAACGGTGGGAGAATCCACCTATACACGTGGAACACCGACCGGAGGGTTCGTACGTGCAACGAACTCCGATGATGTTCAGGCCGGTACACTCGTCGGATCTTTCCGAGCGTGAAGACGCCTCCGATGCCGGTTAAAAGCTTAATTGGAAACGACTGTCCGTTATAGGTCTCGTCCCCCATTCTTAATCTCTTGAATGGGAATTGCCACGAGCATCGAGGATGTCCTTTCTGAGATCGCTGGATAACGTTGTCCTCCAGTTTTCGTATCTCTGCGAGATCTTAAAAAACTGTACCGCCGAAAGCCCGTTTCAAAAACCTATTATACCTTGTCCCGGGCTCTTGGAATTTTATACTCGCTTCGTTGCAATAGCTTCCCCTTATTACGCGGATTCGCGTAATAAGAAATAATGCGCTATGGCGTAATTACTTGGCTCAGGTAAATAGAATTTTCCTTGAAAGGTAGTAAAAATTTATTTGCGTACAAGTGAACGAGTTCAAAAATACGAAGGATTGAAATGATTTTTATTTTGGACAACAGCGCTGTCTCATAATTGTTGGACGATTCTTCTCGTAGGATTTCCCGTCCGCGGTTTCAAATAATGCGCTTATTTTCATGCACGATAACCGGAGAATCGCAAAGGATTAAAATAAATTTTATTCGCGGAGGGACGAGCTTGCGTTAATATCGTCTCGTAGAATAATTATCCGTCTGTCGGTGATTACATTTTCAAGTTTAAACTCGATAGATTCTGAGCGGCCGCCCGCCTCTAATGGTTTAAAGTGGTTCGCGATTCGAGTGTAAAATAAAACCGTGATCCAATTACCCGCGCAGTAACAATTATTATTATCGCTGCGGCGCGCACGGGCCCGCCGCGGTTCGCTGAGAACATCAAAAGTTCATCCGGTTATCAGAGGAACGGGCTCAAAAAGTATTCCAGTAATGAAGAAAGTTTTCTCGCCCGACCCGTTGAGGAATCACACACGAACCCCCGCTGCTGTCCTGCTAACCACGTGTTACACGTATTACGATCGTCGTTATTTCCGTCGCGAGAAAGAACGTTCTTTCCCCCAAGTGAAACGAGCAGGAAACTTTTTCGGCTCGAGTTACAGCCGTCGAATAAATTACCATGAACGAAATTATAATGCAGCGAAATCGACGGAACTAATTATAAAATATTATATTTAAACGGTGGACGAATCATTCAGAAGATTATCTTGATTTTCTCAAAGAAAGTTAAAAATAAATTAACGATTAATTCTACGAATTCGTGATGGCAGTCTTTTATGGACAAAGGAATGTAGATTCACTCAGACTGCTTCTACTTGAAAGTCAAT